GGGGGGGGGGGGGGGGGGGGGGGGGGGGGGGGGGGGGGGGGGGGGGGGCGGAGAATCGCTGTCGGAAGTGGAAGCGACCGTCTGCTGAAGGTGTAAAGCTTGAATATTGGCGCGAGAGTTAAACCAAGACACATACACTCAGTTGTGACTTTCGAAGATTCACGGTCGTGGGGAGAATGCTTGCTGGTCGGAAGAAATTGCCACGGGACGAGGGCAAAGGGCAGAAGCAGCTTCCGGAACACCCAGCACGACAAACAACAATCAATAATCCCAACTCCGCGCAATCAGTTCGCATTTCTCAAAGCCCTCAACCAAGGCTTACCTCCGAAGACAGCCAACTCGCAAAGAGCAGGACAGAGTCGTTTCCGACACAAGAGACAGAGAGAGAGAGAGAGAGATGATATATATAGACAGAGAGAAAGGTAGAGAGAAAGAGAGAGAGAGAGAGAGAGAGAGAGGGATACACGAAACGACCGCCTCCACCGCTGACTGGCAACTCCGTCAATTGTTCCTGGCACACAAAGTACGGCAGAAGTCGATGCGGGTGCTACTCATGACAAGCAAACAACCTCGGGCTCTGGTTGGTCACCGCCAAAACTTCTTTCGTGCCCTCCCCTGTTGCCCAACAACCGGAGTACAGGGCTGCAACGCGATGGGTCTCGCATCAGCAGCCTCCCGTCGTCGGCGCGCATTGTCAACCGGCGCGCAACGGCAACCTGCAACAGAAACACAACCCTATAGGCTTACTCCACCAAAAGGCCCGCCGCAAGAAGCTCCGAGCCAGCCCGCCCGGTGCTTTCATCGCGCCGCTATTTCTGCCGGGCTCACAACGACACGCTGCTCTACCCGGGATCTTACAAACCCACGGGGCGGGTGGGCGGGCGAGCGAGCGCTTAACCGGTTCGATATACATTTGCCCAATTCTAGATTCAAGACGCTTGCCATCTACCCGTTTCGTCGCCAACTTATCATCCCCCAAGGAGAAGCCTCAACCGCCGTATCGTCGTAGCCTTTAGTCTTTACTGCATGTAGATGGTCGGCACAAGAAGTGGTGGCAGTGGGTTGCGACGTCACCGGCAAGAACAAGAAACACTCCGAACGTTAATGTTCACAGCCGGACTACTGTGGGCGGCGGTGTAACGGATTGCTTGCGGGGAGTTACGATCCCCCCGCACTTTCGGGATATTTACATGGCGAAAACTTAAGCCATTTCGCCGAGGACCGACGGCTGCGTGATGGTTGCTGCACATATGAAGGCCGAAAGGGAGACTGAAAACAGGCCGGCAGAGCTCGCCCCGTCGGGTCTTCCATTGTACGTACAATACTCCAAGTATTATGCAGTGTTGTGTGTGTGTTTTCGTCCTATTTGTTATGGCGACAGTCCCCCCATTTTTCGTGGTGAGACGTGTACTACACTTTTCAGTGTATTTTTTCGTACAACTACAACCATCCAGGGCCACACAGGAGGGGGTAAACACCAGGGCTTTTTTCTTCGTTTTATATATTTTCATGCCCCACCTTCCTTCTGCGGTGCGTGCTGAATTTGAATAGTTTTTTTTAGAAGTGGCCCAATAAGGACGCTGTTTAGAGGGATCGTGATGTATGTACGAATGTGCGAAAAAGACGGAAAAACATTGGGTGAGGGGTGATGTTTTCAGCCAAGGCTGTCCGACTGTCTGACCAGCCATAAATAAGCCAGCAGATTCCAGTCCATTTCACCATCTCGGCACCAAATTGCAATCTAAGACGTGTTCACAACAACTAATATTTTGCCCGAGCTGCCCCAACTGCGACCTTTTCAATCCGTGCTCGGTGCGTCGAGATAGTGCAGCGTCGGTACCCAACTTGAAGCAGGGAAGTTTCTGGCCCCTTGCAACAACTAGAGGAGGCGTCGTATGATTTTGAACCAAGACAGATAGCCTCGCACAACACACACTACACACGCACAGAGCCAGACATGGACAAACAGGGAGAGGGAGGCACAGACCACAGCGAGGGCGGGACGGCGGAAGAAGGGTGTGCCATACACTGCTGCTGTTAGCTATCGGCGGAGGAAGCGAGAGGAGAGATCAACATTTGGTTGCAGCAGCAGCAGCAGCAGCGGCCTCTCTCTCTCTCGTTCCGCGGAAAGGAGCACATGACACCAATAACACACAGACGCTGCTACGCACCACCATTGGTGCGATATGTACGGCTGTACGCCTCTCTACACTTTTGTGCGCGAAGGCCTAGTGTGCGACCAGTGCCTCCCGTTCTAGCCTGGTTACCTTTCACACGCTTGAACGCTTATGAGATTTCTCGATCGAAGCTCGAACCAACAAACGAAGCACAACAGCAGAGACATCGTTTTTTTTTCGCTGCTAGCCCTATTTTTTAACATACCGCACCCCTCCCCCCCCCCNTCTAGCCTGGTTACCTTTCACACGCTTGAACGCTTATGAGATTTCTCGATCGAAGCTCGAACCAAC